CTAGTTAGTAGAAAAAATTTGAAAAGAGACCTCACTCCAGCTCGTAACCGCTCCTATCCACGTCCCCCTTTTCACTTACGGCTCCGTGAGTTCAAGTGCTTCTCGGGGTTAAAAGAGTGAAACGCTTTTGAAAAAGGCACTGTGTCTTTGGACGGCAATTTCAGGTCAGCCAACACTGCTAACCCTTCATTGATATATAATCTTGCCGTTTTAACGGCCTGCCAACGGCCGGCAACCATCAACTTGTCTAAAGAACCGTGGCGGGAGAACCACCACGTGGCTCCTCCTCTTCTAAGAGAGTACGGTCGAAACTGGAACGAGTCGAGGTTTAAAGCCGTTAAACATTTTGCAAACATGGTTCGCCATGCCGAAGAACTGGTACAGAGTTTGGCGTGAGGGGGATGAACTTGTTTCCAGTGCCAAACCAAACCCACCGAAGGACCACTTGAGGTGAAAGTGTGCAGCTTTCAGCCACACCTTGACGTTTTCCACCTTTGGTATACCCTAGGGAAATGACCGCAGGGGACCGTACTGACGTCATAAAAATGTCAGCATTGGTCAAATTCAGCAACTCACCTGTGCGCAGCATGCCGTAAAAGGCTATCAATAATGAGACGCCGAACGAATAATGCTGATGAAAGAAGGCCCATCCAGTCATCGCCAGAACGGCCTGCTCTGGAAGAGGTGGGGCACGGTTTGGGATTTCATTTATCCCCCATGTCTTCAGCAACCGCCACGAAGCCTGCAGATGCCCCTTAACCTTTGGGTCAATGTCTTGCAACCCTGCAATAGTATCGGCTCCCAGAGCCCTACCCTCTCCGCTTGACCAGAGATGTTCTATATATTCAGCAAGTAGGCCATCCAAAAGCTCTCTTTTGCGGGGTAGTTTAAGGTCATTCTCACGCAAGAAGGCATAGAATTTTTCGCGTGCTTTTTCATACCTGACACGGGTTTTGGAAGAGACCGTGAGTGACTTGAGACTGCCTAGTTTCTGCCTATCTTTCTGCCGCTGCTCCTTGCTGGGGGCCTCCAATAACCGACCCTTCACTTTCCCCATCGTCGACGAAGTGGACGCCGACTCGGGCGGTCGGCGGGGTTCTGGGATGTGTGCACATACCCCCAAAGGGGGTGGAGGTCCGCCGCAAGGAGATAGGAATTCACTCGCATCAATGTAGACCGAAGTTTCTTGCTCGAACTTCTGCCTCGAGTGAGGGCATGTAAGCAGACTAGGCTGTCCGTAAGGTGCAGGAAACGAACTCGAGCACGACCTTGGCGTTGTACTTTCCATTTGACTGAGGTCAGTATTGCCCGAAGTTCCAGGAGGTTTATGTGATCTCCCGATTGTCTCCATTTCCACCCACTAATTTCTTCCCACTTCCACAGACGACTTGGGACACTTGCACGCAACCGGCTGTATCGCGGTGCGGGATCGGATTGCGCTTGCACCAAGAGATCCTCACCTTTTTGGGACGCCAGCCCTAAGAACTTCTTCACAAGTGCCTTCTGGTCGTCCTCCTCACACGCCACCAAACGGCCATGAAGCGGAGGTCGAGTCAACACCTGAAAAACATTGCTCCCCTGCCCTGGGACAAAGGCTTCTACAAGAGCCTGCAAGGAACGTGGCGACGTAAGCCCAAGCTGGACTCCTAGCTGCTCGACTAACCAGGTGACAACCACAACGTGCCAAGAATTGCCTATCAACGTGAGCCTGGAGTCCTCAAAATCCTGCCCCTTCTGCTGAGCCTTTGGCACGCAATGCCGAGTGTAATCATGAGGAAATCCCATGATAACCTCACGCTCGCTGCTATCCGGTCGTCTCCAAGTCCCCCGCTTGTGCCAGAGGCCATGGCCGTCCTTATATTGATATGGTGGAAACCTATACTCATCTTGTTCCCACCGGCTGATCTCATGCGCCTTGCAATCTGCTAGCCCCGCGGGACGTCTTCCAGGGCTTTTCCGAGGCCTCGAAGTGGTGAAAGTAGGTAGGCGCTGCCCCTTGGGAAGATGCCACCCCTGGTGTAAAAAAGGTTGAGCGTCCACGTCCGCCTGCAGAACCACCTTGCCACAAGCTTGCCATCCCTGCCCTTCACGAGGCCTGATTTCAACCCCAGGCCCAGGCCACAACTGCCAGGAGACCCAGTACAAACGCGGCCTCCCGCACAACGAAACCCCAGATGCATCAATGCGGTAGGGCAGCTTCTGCAAGGCCTCACTCATCACTGACCGATCCTCCAGCCCCATGCTGGCGACGTTTTCAACCAGCTCATGCACCTGAGCCCAAGGAAAACACTGCTTGAAATCTTCGACAATGCGAGGCACGTGACTGAACAAAGAACTCCGAGGATCCCTCAAGGCTCCCTTGCGGTCTGCGTTGAGTCCACTGACGCCCTGGCAGGGCGGTCCCGCCCCGACCAGGACTAACCCCACGTTGCTAAATTTCAATGCCAAGGCCTCAACATCTTGCCGGCTGAAGGTCACAATGTCCTCGAAAAAGATCGTCTCCGGAAAGTGACTCTCCACAACCCTCTGAGCTTTTCTGTCGCGTTCAATGCTGACGTGCCCTGCCATAGGCCCAGGCAAACCCGCCATGTCGCAGGCAACACGCAGGGCACCAATACCATCAAACAACCCTACGCTCAAGACTTGAATGAGATCCTCCTCTTCTGCAACATCTCCCCTTGCCTGCGAATTTAGGGCACTAACCCCATACTCTGTCAAGGAAACAGAAGCGCAAAGACCTCCCCCTTCGCAGGACGCATCAGAGCAGGTGACCTGTCCATCCACCGGGACTCGAAATCCATCTGTGCCAAAGGCGACAACAAAATGAAACGCGCCAATTCCACCTTCACCCCTTTGGGTAGTTTCAGCCGCACGACGGGTGCCTCGCCCTCAAACGCCCTCATGTGCTCAAAAACCTCCTTCAACCCACACAGAAGAGCTCGACGAAACATGCACAAATAGACAAAGCCACCACACACCACTTGGAGTTCGCGAAGTGTGGACTGCCCACGCCTAATGAGCTCGAACGCCAGTTTGTTGTACACGACCACTTTCTCTGGCTTTGGAGCCGTGAACCCCTCAAGGCCGTCAAAGCGTGACCCTTGAAGTTCTCCAACGAACACACGCTCCGCGGCTTTCTTAGGGTGGCGGGGTAGCCCCATCTCTTCATAGTGGGAGCGTAATGCTTCAGCTTGGGGAGACACCGTTCCCGAGACCCGTTCAGCTAAGGACACATCCACTCGCTCCAAAAGGTCAAAGTTGTCCAGGTAAATTCTGTACAGTGTGTCGGCGTTCGACATGGGCTTATCTTTGCGAATCTCACTGCTGTGGGGAGTGCCAGCCATCCCACTCCATCGTACTGTTGACAAACCCCATGGGGAGAACCCTAGACACCAACACACACGCTTTTCCCTTCACAATTACGGGGACCAGTTCATCAGGTACAGCCTTATTGAAGCCCAAGTATCTCTTCCACGCCTCTGGCACCTTGAACAGGTAGAAGAAACACCTGATGTCTTCGCTGCTGAGAAGGGCGACTTCACCTCTCTCAAGGAGATAGGCACTCAGTCCCGACACCCCAGGAAGAGTGCCAATATCTCCCTCCAAAGAGCGACGTAGGTGATTAATAGGTATGAGGTTCATGATCAAACGCTGCGTCTCAATTCCCCCTTTAAATTCACCCTTTCCAACTGCAAACATCCCGTTGAGCAATGGTCGGCCACCAACTTTGCACAGGCCCTCCACTGGGAAAACCTCACACACCCCTTTGCTTACCAGTCCCTTGCACACCTCTGGCCAGTGTTGGTCCTCGATCATAACACGAGGTGGCTTGGTGTACACCCAATTTTCTTCAGGTAGTAGATACTGTTCGAACGACTCCACATAAGCTTTTGTACCAAGTTTGCAAAACCGTGCCAAATCAAGAGACGCCACACCCTCCGGGAAGCTCTCACAAACAGCAGGCCAAAACACTCTCTGTGCCAATTTCACTTCATCACCAGTGTAATCAACATTTTTCCGCGCAAAAAAGTCCGAAAAAGAAACGTCCGACTCCGAAACCTCCCACATCGCGTTTCGTTTAACGAGAGCGCTCAGATTTTTCAAGAGTCGCGCTGACTGATCTGACGAGGCTTTGCTCTCCTCAGCCGGAATTTTCCATCGGCCAAGGTGGTTGAGTGCTGCAGCCACGCCACTCTCCACGTCCGTAGGCGAACAGCAGACCAGAGGGAATACGCTATTTCTCATAGCTCTTTCATCTCTGGCCGAGAGGGAGCGCATCATGTTTTCTTTCCGAACGTATGCTGTCGCCCAGTCGTAGATCTTGCGCGTGGAAAAGTCTTTCAAATAGGCATCCATCTCCCGTTGTCCAGGAGACGTCAAAAAATGATCTTCAGGAAGAGGGCAAGGTCCTGCCGCAGCTCTCTGTAGTTCGAAGCCAGCAGTGTCTTCGCCAGGCTCCTCCCTTCGATCTACCATGCAAACACTCTCAATTCCCAGGAGTCCCTCCCTGTCACCATGAGGTCCTCCCGTCTCTTCTCCACGAGGCGTAGCTTCGTAAGCCAGCCCACCTGATCTTCTCACCCTCCAGGGGTCCCTCCCTGCCACCAGGAGAGCCCCCCGTCCTCATCTTATAGGTCTCACCATCTGCTACTTCTTGAAGTCCTCCTTCTTGTCTTTCTTTCCTTTTCCTTTTTCTCTGCCCTTTTCTCCTTTGTCGCGATCTCTTTCCTTCGCTTTGGATTTTCCTTTTTCGTAGTCTTTGCCTCCCACCTTGTTGAAGACCTTGGACTCCTCGCTGGCGTGACGTCCTGCTCGCCAAAGCTCTCCTGTGGATGAAAGAGAGGCTTTTTCGGGAGGCACCAATTCCATGGCTGCTGGAGCTGCTCAGGGAGTGTCCTCCCAACTGCACCAAGAGGCTTTGCCTGGCCTCCGCCACCATAGCACTTGTCAAGCTCCCCGGATACTTCTTCCACACTTGCTGAACTGGCGTGGGAGCTTCGAACAGCTCCTGATCCCCCTCCAAGCTGGCACCGCTGGTACTGCTGCTCGACTCCTCGCTGTCCGACGAAGATGACCTCTTCTTGCTCTTGCCCCGGTCTGTGATCTTTCTGGCCCTTTTCCGAATCCTTCTTCGGCCTGTCTTGCCGTAGATCACCGACAACTCCTTGGTGCCTTCTATCTTCACCTTCTTCCTCTTCTTCTTTTTTCTCCTCTTCTTTTCCTCGTCCTTGTCGGTTTTCGCGCCTCCCGGATCTCCAGGAGGTGCCATCACCTCGCCTCCCACTGCTGTGTCTCCTCGACCTTTTCCTCGATCTCTCATCTCGTCTGCTTCTCTTCGAAGGCGGCTCAACTCGTCTTCTTCCCCTGCGGTCCCCTCCCGATGATCCAGGAGGCAACGACCCCACGCCAGAGAATCCAACTCCACCTCCTTGATCTCTGAAATGTGCATGAGGTTGTCCGACCAGGCTTTCACCGGGCAAGGATCCGGGCACAGGTGTAGCACCATCTCCCGCTTGGCGTCCGCCGACATGGCCTTCAAGACAGCCTCGCAATTTGTACCTGTCACCCGGATCACCACCTCTCGTTGACCGCCCGAAAGTCTCACCTCCACCAAATTGCCTGCAACCTCTGCGGCTTCTTCCCAATAGCTGCCTTTGGCCTGCACCGTCTTCCACCCTGCAATGGTCTCCATGGCGAGGGCGTCGGCCTTCTTCCACTCCTCGCCCAGGGGTCTCCCCCCGCCATCGCCTGGGTCCGAAGCCGCTGGTCTCCTTCTCCGTCCTGGTGCTGCGGCAGGGCATGCCATACGCCTCATCACCTCCTGCCAAAAATTCCCCTCCTCCGATTGTCCCAATATTCTTCGTTTCGGGCGGTATGTTTCTTACCCTTTTTTCTCCTCTTCTTTTTGGGCTTCGCAGTGGGAATGGCAGCAGCCCAATTCCCTGATCTTCGATGAAGAGGAGGGTAAGGAGGAGGAGCAGGAATCCTCCTAGGCAAACTGGGCCTGTCCGCTTCTTCGTCTCCTCCACTCCCGACTCAGCTGGATCCTCGTCGTCGGCCTCCTCGTCAATCTCTTCCTCCTCAAACTCCAACCCAGGGCTAGGCGGCGGGTCCGTGCTCGCCCGGCCCCGTTCTCGGCCAGGTGATCGACTACGTTCGTCTCGGTCAGGACGTGCCTTGCTCTTTGAGGCCAAGTTCAACCGCTTCGAGGAGCCACTGCTAGAGGCTGTTCTCTGATCCGGCCTGCTTCTTTTGGATTCTGGCTCCACTGAACTGTGCTTTCACCCCCGTTTCCGGTGCTGCCGACGGTCCGGGGTATTTCTTCCGGGCAGTAGCTTTCTGCTGTCTCTCACCTTTGTCCTCCTTCTGAGCTGAGGCTTCCCTGCGACCCCGTGGCAAAGGGTCACGATGATCTGTTTCTCTTCGCTCTGGGGTAGTCTCTTCCGCCCTCGCCTCCACCAAGGGCTCTGTAGTGTCCTCAGCGTCTGCCTCCTGCTTCACTGGGATGGGACTCTTCTCCTGTCGCCTTCTTCTTCGCCTGCGATCTCTGTCTTTCTTCTTGTCACCTGAGGTTTTTCCTACCTCAGCCTCCTCTTCAGGCACTGAGCCTGATCCAGTGGCAGTTGGGCCTTCGGGCTCTGCCACCGTCGGTGGGTCCGGGTTCACGGACGACCCACCACCTCCACCAGGAGCACCTGCCCCCACCTCAGGAGCCGCTGCTCCTCCTGTATCCCCCGCCTCTCCAGGGGCGTTGTCACCACCTCCTTGTCGAAGCCGATGGGATAGCTCGAGCAAGTGGAGGTAGGTAGTGTCCAGGAGAGCTCCGGCGCTCTCCCGAAAGGGTGGAGTGCTGCCAGGCCCGAAGAGGATGCCAAACACCCGCGCAAATGCTTTGCAGCAGGTGCACTGACAGTCACCGGGTTTGTGCACCAGCCGCTCACCCATGAGCTGTGAGCCGAGATGCACTGGCATCGAATACAATTCCGGCGACGACTCGTTTTAACATACGGGCCGATTAATATATACATTCATACCTGAGAAGGGAGGGGACGAAAGCCAGCCCTCGTATACCCTCTGATATCTTCATTCGCAAAACTCGTGTCAAATGCTCGAAACTGCATCTGCCGCGCCCTGCTTTGCAGGTGACTGCCAAACAAACCCAAAACGGCTGCAACAAAATGGTGCCTTAAGGTCTGTTCTGCGGGAACTTGTTGCTAGAACCCACTTTTCCAGAGGTGTGCGTTTTAGTGTCATACGTCCAGGGACAAAGCGCAGAAGGGCACCAACCCAGAACAAACATAATTGTTCAACGTATTTTCTTTATAGCTGCTTGGGGAGGCCCGGCTAGGTCCCAGAAGTAGTAAAGGCGGTTGAGCATTGGACTGGCTTTGCACTATATGAAGCATCACACTGAAGATTTAAAGCGTGTACTTCGTTCACTGAGAATTTGCCAGTCAGTCGGCGTTTGGGTTGGATGGATTATTGCGGCACAGGCAAATTCAAGAGCCTGACCCATTCGGGTGTAGGACTTCGGTGTCTGTTGGAACTGCACATCGCTCTTGGGTTACTGCGTCCATTAGCCCCAAACCAGGCCGCTTTACAGGAAGTGCACCATAGCCTCCCGAGTTTTTCAGGTTGCCGTGTGTCTTTACCTAAAGGCGATTCCAAACGAATCGCTCCATTGGTTACGGTGCATTGTGGCCCACCGTCTGTTGGCCCGCTTAGATGTTCTACGCGTTCACTGCTGCCAGTATCAAGCACGCCGGCTCGTCTCTTACAGCGGCGCAATGCAGAAAACGGAACAGCCCGCGAGTCCACGTTTGCCAGGGAATGACCATACACACAATTATACAAGCCGCTGTCAACTCAAATGGTATCCTGGCCACTTTGTGATGCTAATGGTGCACTATTAAACTGCCTGTTGGCATCACTCGCATCACCAAGGCCATTCTAATCACGCACAACTTTGACTACACTTTGACTTTGCCCGCCCCTTTTGTTCGCTCTCCCCCGCCAGGCTCAGGTTCTGGGTTCACCCCACCTCGCAAACACCCCCCACAGCCCCTAATACTCACTTCGTTCACCCATCAGGCATATGTGTATATATATATATATATAGCAAACAGTTTGTGTTTTTCAAAAGGAACACTCAGAGTTTGCGACGTCCAGAGCTGGGAGAAAGGAACGCAAGAAGGAAGAGGCGGAAATAGCAGTCGAGAGCTGGGAGACACGTGTAAAATCAAGGATTGCAAGGCAGAGGTGGATACAGCAGTGTAGAGCTGGGAGACAAATGCAAAGGACAGTCAGAGCTGGGAGACACATGTAAAATTAAGGATTGCAAGGCAGAGGCGGACACAACAGCCCAGAGCTGGGAGACAAGTGTTGCAAGCCAAAGGCGGACACAGCAGCCCAGAGCTGGGAGACACATGTAAAGGACACGCAGGCTACGGATTGCAAGGCGCAGCCCAGACGGACACGGCAACAAGCTGGGAGACAAATGTAAAGGATTGCAAGCGAGAGGGAAAGGAATGCAATTGAGAGGCGGACACAGCAGCGCAGAGGTGGGCGGCAAACGTAAAGGATTGGAAGGCAAAGGTGGACACAGCAGTCCAGAGCTGGGAGACAAGCGCAAAGGATTGCAAGGCAGAGGCGGACAGCAGTCGAGAGACATGGAAGGGGTTGCAAGAGGTCCAGAGCTGGAGACACATGTAAAGGATTGCAAGCGAGAGGAAGTGACAACGACGTGGCCAAGCTCAACAAGCCTCCTGGAGCACTTACAAACACCAGCAAACCACTGCAATACCAGTGAAGTTGTCCAAAAGGTAGGTTTTAGGGGGTGTAGCGTGTATATATATATATATACATATACAATATGTAGAAAATACATATATATATATGTGTGTGTGTGTGTGAGTGCGTAAACCGCTCTAGCACGCGGGCGACGACCGAAATTCAGTTGCTGTACTTGTGGAGTTGAGACAAGTTTGAGAGCAGGGGCTGTACTTATGCAGTTGAGACAAGCTTGAGAGTCGGGGAACTGGGCACTCTGTGACTGACCCAGTTCAACGAAGCTAGGTCAGAGAGTGGGATATTCGGACTGATCATCCGAACGTACCTGCACAACGGTTCGGTTTGTCTACCCCACTCTTTCATAAAGAGCTAGTGCGCCGATGTTCAAAGAATTCCGGTTTGCTGACCTTTCGCCATGCTGTTTTGCAAGTCAAGCGCTATGTAACCATTCAGCGAATCAATACTGAAATATTTATGCTCATTCAATTCAGCTACGTATCTAAGTGTGAGTGCGTTTTTCCTTTTTCTTCCGCCCTGCCGGGGATCACCCTCGATCTGGAGGAAGCTTGACTTGATAAGTTTGGCACTTGATAAGTTTGATCTGTGGAGAAATGCATTTCCTACACTCTTTTTCTGTCACATTTTGGATCGCGAACCCAGAGGGTGGAAAGAGGAAAATACAAACAGGTGGAAGAACGGTCTTATATATGCCTCTATGACGGACAAGTTGCTATGAGCTCAGCCAACTCAGCAAAGCTGATGTAACCTGCGCCAAAAAAACATAAACTGAAACTGAAACGCGGCATATAACTCGATCGCTCGCGTTATGTCATTGCGTTGCTTGCGCACCTTTGCCATCTTTGTCCCACTTTTTGAACTGCTCCTGCACAGCATGATGTTCGAGGCCAAGGCCAAGTGTAAGCTTGTCGGCACTAAGCCATTTGGAGATGACTCAAAGGCAAAGCTTTGCACACCGGTGAAATGGTGCTGGCACTAGGCGCCTGATCTCTGATACCTCTTCACCAGTTCTCTTTCAGTGTTTCCTATGTGCACCCCTGACAGTCCCGAACTGGATCAAGTCGACCTCAGCTGCAGGGAACTCATGAAGCTTGCTATCATCATCATCATCATCATCATCATCATCATCATCATCATCATCATTCAATTCAATATGTACCCAGAAGTCAAAAAGATCCCAAGAGCGCAAAAAGCTGCATACAGGCTTTTTCCAATGCGCTTTGGTTGATGCTGGGGTCCTCCCCCAGACCCTGTATCATTTAGTCCATTTCAAACTGCCCTGGACTTCGCCAGGGGGACAAGGGTGTGTCAGGCAGTCGCTGCCAAAACACCCGAATGTCCCCTGGTCTCCCAGGGCCAACAGGCACCTGTCGAGGTGCCAGGGGACAAGGTCGGGAGGACAGCCCACCGGATCCGGTCACGGGATCTTGGGTGGGCAGCTAGGAAAAACCCGTTGCGGACAAAAGTTTTGTAGCAAAAGGAAAAATGAAGAGAGTCTCCGGTGCCGGTAGCCGGCGATCTAAGGAGAATCCTTCAAAGTCCGGATGAGTCAATTCATCCGCCCAGGTGTTGTACTCCCTGGGGATGTGATTGGGAGCAATGCTACAGCCCTCACAATGAAGGAAGAGAACCAATTCCATTAGCAGTGCAGCCGAGTAAGGTTTCTTGGCCGAGAGGTTGAGCAGGCTGAAGATGTTGCCTGAGTTGTCACTGCCCACCGGGAGACGAACTCTTCCCGGCAGTTGGCCCTGTCGGGCCACCAGGTGCTTGCAAAGAAGTAGCGTTCCCAGGAGTTCCAGGGCAGCAATGCGTTTCTGAGGGTTGCCATCCTTGAATGCCCACGGATGGGCGTCTGCTGTAATGGCATAGTGGAACCATAGGACCTTGTCCTTGGTGGGGTTCGGGGAGGCCGGGGGCGTAGAAGGCAAAGAAGCCGCCGCCATGGCATCTACCGGATCACTAAAATACCCTGCCGGTGCAGGGGGCGTGAAACCTAAGCCCGCTCGCTCAGTGGTGTCCTCCTCCATCTGGTCGGCAGGCGCCGCTGGGCGTGGCTCCGCCGCAACAGGCCAGGCCAAAGGTGGTTCCGCCAGGGTCGTCAAAAGTGTGGGCTGGGCCGCCGCCGCCGATGGTGTAGTAGGGCTCGTCGTCGAGGCCGCCGCTGCCGTAGGCGCCACCCCCTCCACCGCTGGGCCAGAGGCACCAGGAGCAGAGGGGGGTTGGCCAGCGCCGCCATCAGCCGGGTCCTCTAAGCCCAGGAGGTCCACACCCATGTCCGCGTCTTCGCGTTCCGCAATCTGGACCTTGAGTGCTTCCAGGCGGCGCTCCAACTCCCGGATCTGCGCCTGAGCATCCAGCTCAGAAACCAAAACGGGCTGTCCAAAAATGGCGAGGCCCCTCGCTCCTTCCGCCTCCGCATGACGGAGGGCTGCAGACGCAGCATCAGCTGCCTGTTCCAAACCTCCATGCCCGGGCTACTGATTGTAGTCCCATCCTCAACGTCTGGTTGGGCATCTCGCACTGACTCAATCATGACATACTCCGGTTCCATTGGGTGCGCCATTGCGTCGTCGTCAACAAGAACCAATGTACTAAGGAGTTTTCTTCCAAACTTCAGGCGCAATCCTGTGGATGATTGCCACCAACTTGAGCCAAAATGTCCCGGTGGGACATTTTGTGAACTTCAGTGAACATAAAACTTGCATCCGCAAGCTACCTGCAAGTGTGAATTCATTCGAGCATGAGATCCACCCCGTCTCACATGGTAAAGTGTAAGGTCCAAAACCAAATACAATGACTGAGCTTTACCAAGTAAGACCTCGTCATTGCCTTCTTGTAGCCCGTCTGAAGGAGGTATATAGTTAAATCCAAAACGGGTGGCCGCCACTGGCAAAATTGCAAACTAATCTATTCCTCTGATTAATAAACGCCCCTAGAATAATGTATTTTCCTGCACTGATTGATAAAGGCCACCAGAATAATGTTTTTTTTTGGCAGGGATAGTTGTAGTGGAATATGTTTGATTGTTATAGCTTACTTTTTCCCTTTTGCTTTCCTTTACTTACCTAAGCTCTTTAGTATTTAAGCTTTCCAAAAGTTTCCAAAAGTCAGTGCACACCTTCTTTACAAACTACCTT